GGAGGAGGCGGGGGAGGAATATTAGCAGCAGAAGCAGCAGCAGCAGCAGCAGCAGCAGCAGCAGCAGCAGCAGCAGCAGCAGCAGCAGCAGCTGCTGCTGCTGCTGCTGCTGCTGGCAGAAAGTGGGCTACGGGAGCGGTTTTTGGAGATTTGGGGACAGTTTTTCGCGAGGAGTTCGAAAATGGAATTAAAAAAGATCCAAAAGAAGAAACAAATGCTCAAAAAAGAAAAGAAAAAGAAAACTGACTTCGCAATTGAAAGAATCCAAGTTGGTGGTGGGCTCGTCGAGGGCCAGCAGCTGGCAAGACACCCCAAAGCTGTCGGCGAGGGCGAGGCGGATGGCCAAACTGGCGAGCACTTTTTGGCCTGCAATAAAAACTTTTTTTTGAATTTATTTTTTCTTTTTTTGCAACTTTTGGGATCTTTTTCGAAGCTTTTTGCTTTTGTTTTGTTGCCTGTTTGCTGCTGCTGCTTCGGAGTTCAATTTGAGAGAAAAAGCAGCAAAAAAGACCAAAAAATGACCCAAAACGGACTTTTTCGCAAATCCATTCAGAATCAATTTATGGATTTAAATTGAATTTAAATTAAATTTAAATTGAATTTAAATTAAATCAATTAAATTAATTTAATTAATTAAATTAATTAATGGATTTAGATTAAATTTAAATTCAAATCAATTAATAGATGTAAATTAAATTCAAAACAAATAATTAAATTAATTCGTGGATTTAAATTAAATTTAAAACAATTAATTAAATCAATTAATATATTTAATTTGAATTCAAAACAAATAATTAAATGAATTAAATTTGAAAAGGGGAATTCAAAGACAGTGGATTTCCTGAAAACCCTAAAAGAGGGTTTACAGCCCCAGCGAGGCTCGCAAACCCTAAAAAAGGGTTTGCAGCCCCAGCGAGGCTCGCAAACCCTAAAAAAGGGTTTAGAACTTACCCGCAGAACAGCGGCCTCGCATGTCGATTTCTTTTCCACTGGGGGTTTTCATCACAACTCTGTAGTTGTAAGAACGCTCTCCTGCTGCTAAACCCCCATATGCTGCTGCTGCTGCTGCTGCTGCTGCTGCTGCTGCAGCAGCAGCAGAGTCCTCTGCTGCAGCTACAGATGACCGAACTGCAGCAAACAAACAAATGCTGCTGCCCCTTTAAACCCTCAATTTAAATTATCTTTTAAAACTCATTTTGGCTTTTAGGGAAATAAAAAAGAATTAAATTAATTAAAAAGAATTAAATTAATTAAAAATGAATTAAATTAATCTTTTAAATTTAATTTCTCATTTGAAACTCATTTTAGCCTTTAAAGGAAAAGGAATCAAAAAATGGAAAATAAACAAATTAATTATTTAAATTAACTATTTCAATGAATTAGTTAATTAATTAAATCAATTAAATCAATCAATTAAATCAATTAAACCAATTAAATCAATTAAATTAATTTAATTAATTAATTTATTTATTAAAACTAACTTGCAATACTGTCAATATCAGTTCCCGCATAAATAAGTGAATTGCCAATCAAATTAAAGGAATTTATTCGAACTAACTAATTAAATTAATTAAATGAATTATTTAAATTAATTAAATCAATTAAATCAATTAAATTAATTAAATTAATTAATTAATTTAATTAATTAAAACTGACTTGCAATGCTGTCAATATCAGTTCCTGCATAAATAAGTGGAAAAATAGTCTAATTAAAGGACTTTACTCGAATTAGTTAATTAAATCCATTAAATGAATTAATTAAATGAATTAAATGAATTAAATGAATTAAATCAATTAAATTAATTAATTAATTAATTAAATTAATTAAAACTAACTTGCAATGCTGTCAATATCAGTTCCTGCATAAAGTGTTTGCCAAAGTTCCTTCAAGGATTCGTTTATCGCTTCGATCTGCGGTGTACGTACACCCCAACGCACCCCACACCCTCGGCAACAGACAAACCCCTCGCTAGCTAGCTAGCTAGCCAGCTAGCTAGCTAGCTAGCCAGCAGCTAGCTAGCCAGCAGCTAGCTAGCTGGCTAGCTAGCGAGCTATCGGGTAGCTAGCTGGCCTGTGGGCTAGCTGGTAAGTTGGCTAGCTGCCTAAATAGCTTGCTCGCGAGCTGCCTAGCTGGCTGGCTAGCTAGCTAGCTAGCTAGCCAGCTAGCCAGCTACCTGGCAAGCTGCCTAGCTAGCTACCTAGCTAGCTAGGTGGCTAGCTAGCTAGCCACTAGTTAGCTAGCTAGCTAGCTAGCTAGCCACTAGCTAGCTAGCTAGTTAGCTAGCTAGCTAGCTAGCCACTAGCTAGCTAGCTAGCTAACTAGCTAGCTACCTTGGCTGCGTGGTAGTTCATGAGAGCCCTGTCGAGGGCCTTGTGGTATTTGTCCAAGTCCTCCACTGCCAGCCGCTCCGCCTCGCAGTCCGCCAGTGCTGCAGCAGCAGAATAAATAAATTAAATAAATTAAATTAAATTAAATTAAATTAAATTAAATTAAATAATTAATTAAATTAAATTAAATTAAATTAATTATTTAATGCGCGTGGAGCAGCAAGTGAAAGGCTGGAAACGGCGTTCTGCTGCTGCTGCTGGTCGTTCTGCTGCTGCTGAGGTGTACGTACACCTGAACCTGCTGCTGCTGCTGCTGCTGCTGCTGCTGCTGCTGCTGCTGCTGCTGCTGCTGCTGACCCTCTACGTATCTGTCTTCGATTTGCTTGTAGGTTGCGCTGCTGAGTTCCCGCTGCAGCTGCTGCTTCCTTTCTTCTCTTGCTGCTGCTGCTCCCCGCTGCTCCGCCAGTGCTGCTGCTGCTGCTGCTGTGTCTTTGCGGAGGGCCTCAACCAGCGCCTCCACAGTTGCTGCTGTGAGCTGCTGCTGCTGC